CAAAGTACCTCTTTCGATGAATTTAAATCGTGATGCAGGTGATTGTGAAGTTATCTTCTCAAGAACGAAAGGAGATGGAGACAGTGTTACTGGTGAATGAATTACCTATGTTACTCGATGGTAGAGGATCTAGATGTCCCAAGGTTCGAGGCAAACTGATGGTTGAAGCTCTGGGTAAATGAGGATTGGAATGGAAATGGAACTAGAACAGGAACGAGAACGAGAACGAGAACGCGAGCTAGAACCAAAACTACCTAGGTGGTCAATATTCTCCACCCAAACGGCTTGAACGTGTTTGGAGTGGGAGGTATGGCAAGGGGATGGAAGACAGAGAAATATAGAAGAATTACGCTGGTGCGAGTAGAAATGAATTGAGGATGGACGCTCAGGGACATATACAAAGAAAGCAAAGGGAATATATTCACATTTCCTTCTACGTGATTGGTACGGAACATATTCTCATATCTGGTGTATCTATGGTGGTATTGCGACTATATCGTAGAGAGAGTATAGTATTCATCCACCCATCTAGACCTTTTCGAAACAAACGACCTTCCCCTTTTCATTGATCTCGAATACATCGGATGTCATCCGTTAGATCTCGGATATTGTTACAGAAAATGGATAAATTGATAGTTACCAATTGGAAGGAATAAGCCGAGATAATTTATTCAATCATTATACCCCTATGTCCTATGTCCTATGTCCTATGTCCTATGTCCTATGTACCTACCTAGCATTTATGTGTTGAAACATTTATTACATGTGTATTTATAAGTTTATGTAGGTATTTATGTATTTATATACTTGTCTATTTATGTATTTATGTGTTCATGTGTTCATGTCTAAAAATAGTAATAATTCCTCCTCACCATATTGCCATTTACGCCACACTGATTGATCTCTTGTCTTGTCTTTGACCATCTCTTGTCCCGAGCCTCTTAGTTCGAAAAACTTCAAACACGACGACAACATCAAATCGTCAGAATGTCTTCATCTCATCTCTTTTCGCTGAAACAAATGACATCCGTGTTTGAAAACTATTTGTTTATCAATTCTCCCGTCATAATCTTCCGTCATCCCGTCTCAACCCCTCACACATCACGGCACAGGATGTACCGCATGCAAAACGTACATGTCCGAATGAGCTTGAGGATGACGAATCTCATGCCTGTGCTTGCATATCTACTACGTAGTTCATGTCGGCCCTCTTGAAATAAGCAGTAGATCAAAATTTGAAGCGGGAGTACGCAATATTATGTTTCTAGAGTTAGAAGCGCCAATGGTAGGTAAGAAATTGGACTTGGGGGTTTCGCAATGCCAGAAATCGTATCTCATAATGAGAGAAGTGGTTTGTTTGGAAGAAAGATTGGCTTGAGTTACATTGTAAGATTCTTGATACTTGAATATCATTTCTTCATCCCACAAAGGACAATGTGGACGGTATAACATGTGTTTTTACGAATCTCGAAAATTCTTCATTCCTCTCAGGTCTAGAACATCAAGTAGATGATCAGCACCTAACAGAGCGAAACGTTACATTGATAGCCCTCAATCAATTGGTAGAGATTTCAACGTAAAATTTCTTACTGTCAATCTCTATTTTCCATCTTCTTAGTTTCCGTCTGATCTTTTACCCCTCATGGTATGGTTTTGTTATTGTCCACGTGATATATTCTTCGTATACTCGCCTTCTTTCGTTTACTATTTGTCTTGTTGCACGCCTGTTTCACTTCTAGCATACCCACCGGAGGGATTCTCCTTATTTTCCTTTCAATTGATCAATGATCTTTTCTGGTTCTCGTGTCTAGCACGTGATACATGGCTTTGAACGTATTCATGGTCCATTGCCCATCCTGGGGTTTCCTCACCGTTACGTTATGTTGAAAAAGCAATACTTAGACACATGATAGTGCATAAACGGTACATTACCGGCACATTGCCGTTGCATTACCGTTACATCACCGTTCGATGGCAAGTGCGCCAGTTCTTGAAGACCATGTGTTCAGATTGAAACCACTCTTTCGTCACACAATTTTCACATGATAGACAGAGAGTCGATCTTATATCGCTTTCTCACCAGCTCCAGCACGATGCTTTCAATTGCCGCGTAGGATGGATCGGTTGTGTATATTATAGCGACACAGTGATGGATCATCTTGAACGTGGATATCCACACAAGAGAACAAATCTTGGTGACAACTTGCCCCTTGATCTTGTGCTATGTACCACAAATAAATCCCTCCAGTCCAATGGAGATGTCAGAACTCGAAATACAGAAAGATCTCCGCTAAAATTCTTCATCTGTCAAAGACCAAAGACCGAGTTGACAGCAGATCAACAGAAGTCGTACGCTCCCAAACTTAGTTCGCATTAGCTCTCGGTCTTGTCCGACATTTTCACTCCTGATTTCTTAGGTTTGACTGTTTCCTAATGAGCGCACCTAGATTTTGGATAGTTATCTTGGTATGATGTCAAAATTTTATACTTTGAATGGTCTCCACTCCGTCTGAAGTGCACGAAAATAGTTTCTATTCGCCCATTTCTTACTGACTGTCTCTTTATTCCCGTTAGCCAGAGTTTGAGGATGATCATCTGAAGAAACCGATGCCGCTATATTTGAAGTAGTCTACAATCAACGGACAATATTCGAAACATGGTGATGATATGAGGTTGAATCCTATGAGTATAGGGCTATCAACACTAGTTATTCATGATTCTCGAATAGATATGCACTTATGACTCCACAAAGACTCTAAGTACCCAAGCTTCATGGCCCTCACTAGATCGACCTAGATCACTGATTTTCAGCACTAAGAACAAAGGGTACTAGTGTGAGACTTTATGCTGTCTATCATATACCGGATTATCATAAGCTTGGTAGTCCAATGCCATCTCAAAAGCGGACACATATCATGAAAAGTCTAGGGGGTCGGTACTCAGATCCGTCCTTGAGCCTTCCTACTATGAAAAATGTGATGTGAGCATGCAATTCGCTCACTAGAAGATAGTTGTTCATTCAGCTTATTGTTCGAGTTGTCGATTGTGATAGTCAAGATTTTCAGTATCAGGATAAATTTCGGGAATAGGATTGATCTATTTCATTGGACGCGTATGTTATAAGGAGAATGTGGGAGTACCTTGCAGTCTCTTGAGTCCTCTTGTTCTCCTGTTATCCCCATTTCATTCCCGTTAGCGCGAGCTGTAGAGCGGTAGATACTCATCTACCATACCTTTGATATCATGTTCCTCCACTCAATGCATAATCCTCATAAAAACAAATCATAAAAACAAAACATAATTCCAACGTTGAACTCAAACCTCAGGTACCCGAATGCAAATGGTTCAGCCTTACACCACACAGTATTCTAGTAGATAGTGCTTACAACATCACATGGTCTACATGTCAAAAGTTGTTTAAAATGCGCCACCCGTTGCTTATCTTTTCATAATACTCATCGCAAAACTAGCAGCCTGAAGGGAACTTATTGAGGATATCATGTAGAAGATCTGTTCGTATGTAGTTACCTTGTGCTATTCATGTTTAGTTAGACGGCTTGTATAATATATTGTGAAAAGTTTAGATCATCATTGCAACCTCGGATTAGCCTTTCTTTATCCATAATTCTTTGCTCCTCGCTCTTCGACCTCCATCTATCATTGTTATCCTGGATCATATCCTCCACTCACAAACAACTTCGTACATGATCCAATAGGAAGTCCTACAGCTTTAGAATTAATGAACTAAACGACAAAGCATTACTGTAAAAATTGTTACTGTCCTTGTACATCATAATGTCTTTCATTCAATCTACAGATTCAGATCGATCGACGTTGCATTAGTGCAATCTCAGTCTCCCATGCATTATTCATCGTATCCTTCTCCATGAAATCTTGGCTTTTGAGGTCCAAAGTTTTAAGGATTGTATTTGCGTATCGTATACATGAACTCAATCACCACTTGTAAGCGAATGCACTCCGTATCATCCTTCGATAACCGTTCCATAACAAGCTACTAGTATCAATGGAGCTGAAGATATATATTGTGTCCAGAGCTAAGGACAAAATGTGAACCTTCCAAGCTTCGGTTACCCATTATGTCACGAGCCATGCCATCCGCCACAACCGCGTGAGCTAGCTATGGAATTTCTGTCGCATACTCCAGCCTATCATTGTCTCAATGTACAGTAGTCATACCATGATCAACAGGTTCATCTACCAAATCTGGAAGCTATAGCCATTTGCAGTTGGCCAATGCTTGTACCTGCGTCTGTGCGTGAACTTTCTTTAAGGTTTGCATTAGTAAGGTTTTTGTACTCCAATCGCCGTGTAAACGAGATGCAGCCTTCCAATCAACCTAAACCCCAATGTTTCTGCACCCCGACCATTCTGCGCTCTAATCATACATTCTGCCTAGTGGACCATCAACCTTAGAAAATCGTCTAGCTTACAAACTCCCGGCTTGCTTGAAAACCTTTTAGATGCACAAGCTCCACACAAGGCCAAGCTCATAGACTAAAGATTTTATAGTTTTCACGTACTATGCTTAGCGAACGCATCAATCAACAGATGACTTTGATACGTAGTCGAATTCGAGATCTCCCAACTAAGGCTCGATCCTGGGCACGCAAACACCGAAGCAAGCGCCATGAAATTAATGTTAGCTTGTGGATAGATGTTTCCTTGATATTCGGAGCTTGCGATATGTTAGTCCTTGGCCAAGTGAGTGACACCTGAGAATCGTACGGTTATGGCAAAGTAAGTGTTGGATAGAGTTTTTGTGCCTGAAGCTTGGAGGATTCAACGTGGTATTTCTTTTTTACTTATATGGCATGATTTTCCTACAATAATGAGGACATCATTTGAGTTCTTACTTATACCCGTCTATATATTTTCGAAAATAAAGAATTCCTTTTGAAATCATATCATTTCAAACCCGCAGAAGTGAACACTGAACCTCTTGAATCCAAAAACAAATAACATCGTCTTACACAAGCAAAATGTCTTCCTCATCATCGTCATCGACGTCGAATATACAGAAAATCAAAAAACTCTTGTAAGTTCTCCCATACTATATCTTTCCTCAAATTTGACACTAACACTCCACTTTCCAGTAAGCTCAAATCCCCATCTTCATCACGCTCCAACTCGCGCTCCACAAGCATATCCACAAGCCCATCCAGTACCTCTCTCAACTCTCCCCACCCCTCACCCACATTCGACTCCAAACCACGCATCCAATCCTCTTCAACCATAACATCCATCACCTCCTCCCATTGCTCGCATTCCTCCTATCCCACCTCACGCAAAGGATCCACATCTGGACTCTCCACCTCTGGCCTCTCCACCGCCGCCGCATTCTCCCTCTCTTCCTCCAACCACACCATCCTCGAAGACTCCCGCAATTCCATCGACTCTCGGAATCGCATCGCGGGTCTGGGACTCCGCGGAAGCGGGATCAGCATGGGAATGGGTGGTGCGACAACGAGGTGTAATAGTCTGTCGTCGATGATCTCGATTGGATCGTTGGAGATTGAGAAGACGGAGACGTTTGGGGTCGAGATTGAGGAGAGGAGTGTGGGGGATTCGGATTTGGAAATTAGGAAGGAGAGGAGGAGGGGGAAGGTGTGGGAGGGAGAATTGGGGGAGTGGATGTGTTAGGATTGGATTTCTGGGCTGGGGAAAACCATTCTTTGGATTGGAAACATTCATTTATAATAATCGCTTGGATTATTCATTTCTTTTGTCTTTTTGTTTTTTGAGGGCGGAGGGGATAGCGTCGTGGCTGCATAGCACGCACGCAGGTAGCAAGGTCTGAATAAAGACCGGAATTGAGAAAAAGACAAGCATGGATGGCTGGATGGAATGGATGGGATGGTTACGTATACGGATATGGAAGTATCAAGGGCTGATTACTTGAGTATCAAATGAATGGGATGGGATAGGATACATCGGACTTTAATCGAGCCGATTTTTTTTGTTGTTTTTGGGCTGGAGAGGAGGAGGCTAGGATAGGGAATGAATCTTATGTGTTATGATATGATGATAATGTTTTTTTCTCAAAAATTTACATTTGTGATGGTGTGATCATGTGATTTTAATGTGATTTTAATTTGATTTTATATGATGGTGATTGTGACTCGGTGATGATATATCGAGAGTTGACACTTTGATGTTTGGATTGGGGGTGGGGGGCTGGAAGGTGGAAGGTGGTGGTAGTGTGGTAGTGTGATGTATGTACGTATGTTTAGAATGATAGATAAACAGATAGATCGTCGATGATTGATTCTTGGTAGATAGGATTTGATGTGATAGGATAGAATATTATGGGGATCTATCACAGTGCAGACTCCGGGGTGAGACTCCCCTTCTTGGGTGTATGGATCGAATTACTAGGTATATGGAAAGAAACGAGATGAGCAGGGGATGACAAGATAAGATTGAATGGGAAAGATGCATGGTTTTTGTAGTATCATTGATTAGGTACTAGGTTCTAGGTAGATATTCAAGTATTTTACTGAAGGAAAGAATCTAGGAGTAGCAATACAGAAAGAAAAATGATACACTGTGATATCTCCGAATCCTGCGATGGAGAACTCGAGGAAATATTGGCATGCACGTGTTTAACGTCGATTCTAACTCCGAAACGTGGTGTGATTTCTCTATCTAGGTATGGTATGGTATCATGTTTGATTAAATAGTGCAATATTGGATTAGGTTACTGTCTAACCGCGTGAAGAAACCCTGCAATCTCGGGTCCGAAAATCCCATCTTGCACTAAGTGGTCGGCGGCCCCGACGAGCCATGATTGACAATCTTTCTGGGTGATTCTTTTGCCAGGGTTGATCTTTGGAGGGGTTGTGTTAAAAAAGTAGTTGTGTGATATGGATTCGGAGGAAGTTGTTATGGGTGATGAGGGGTAGAAAACAAAATGTCTCGGATCGGATACTTGATGGAATTTGATATGGAAAAATCTCACGTACCTCATCTCTCACGGAATTTAACGTCTTCCCGGGCACCTCTGCTTTTCTTACACTTTTCTCAAATGCACAGACCGTTCTCCTATACATATCCGCATCCACCCCACATCCCTCGGTATCTAGTGTTTCCCACCCACGAACCCACTGCAGTGGAATCCTCTTCGTGGGGATATCCTCGGTGGTATATAAATTATGTTCTTGCTGAATCTCAAAACGAAATCCGTTCCTTACATCTCCGGTGGCGTGGAGACGAACGCCAATGGAGGTGTGGGAGGGAGAGCGGATGAAGAAGGCCCAATGGTCTTTGTAGGGGTGGCCATTGTAGATGAGGAGTTCGATGAGGAAGGTATTTGGGGAGCCGAAAGTTGGGGGGGATGGAGTGGATGGTAGCTTTGCGGGAGTGAACGGTTTGGAAAAACTGGGGGGAGGAGGAAGGGGTGGAGGTGGAGGTGGTGGAGCAGAGCCGGTGCCGATGTTGGGGGAGTGATTTGGGTTTTGGGGTTTACCTGATGATGGAGTGGAGTGACCAATCTCTATCGATTCGCTAATAAGTATCGTTGACTCATTTTTCTCAATGGGTACATGAGAAGAGGCCTGAGAGGTCATGATGATAGTGTCAATTTTGTAAATATCGCCGATATATACACACTTACGAAAGTAACTTCGGCAAAAGAAATCACGAAGTTCGAACACTTGGACAAGTAGCTTAAGAAATGAAACAAACCAAAAAGTAAAAAACACTTGGGAAAAAGAAATTCGAAAGTTCCTTTTGAGTAGATTTCTAGACAGTCGTTGATGTAGGTTAAATCAGCCTTATAAAAATGGGTCCATTCCGTCTGGGGTATGTTCAAGGGGTCCCACAAATCTGTGCCGTGAATGTTGGTAGCGCTTTTGCTTTACACAACCTACGTTATCGGGGAATGTATTTGGAGTTTTGTGGATGCTTTATCTTGATAATGTGATTTTCTGTTCTTGGTTTAGAAAATAATGATGGGAAAAAATAGGAGATCTATTGCATATGAGGAATCGAATAGATGAAGGGGTTGAGGATTTTGAAGTAAAATGGAATTGATCTAAGCGAGTGGATTATTTCTGACTAATCCATAAGAAAGTGTTTTTGATAATACTGCTCACCAGATTACCTGGGTAAACAAGTATCGAGTGAAATGGCATCTCAATACACACTGAAGTGCATCAAGTTATTCAATAACAGCGAAGCCATGCTTGACTTTTCAAGTGTTGCATGCTCATGAGGTTTGTTTGTATCACAAATCAATTTAGCAATGTTGAACCTCACAGTGACGCCAAACCCTAGTTTTAGGGTTGATCATTGTTGCCTGGGTATCATCCAGTATGATCTTACATAATGTAAGTACTATAGAGCGGAATAACTGAGTTCTATACCAGTTTGATAATAATGTTTCAGGTATAGAAAAATGACGTATAGAATATCTTACTAAAAATTGTTCTGGATTATCATACTTAGTAGTTGTGGACTTATTTCTTGGTCAAGACATGGTTTTCGGATAGTTGTTCAATCTATTACATTAATATTGACATCCGCTATTGATATCTGTAGGACTTATGAAAATAACATGAATCCACATGGTAAAGTGAAAAATACACCAACGCTCAATCTTGGAATGCTTCCTGTTACAAAAACTCAACTTCTAGAGTTACAGAAATATAAAAGCCGTTCTAAATTCAAAGCCCGAAAGTGAACCGAATCGACAATTCAGTTTTCAAGACAATGCTCATTCTTTCTTTCACGCAATAAATCAAGAACAAGTCGAGTTTCATGAATTTCCCATATCAAAGAAGACGCTTCGAGGACCTTTGAAACCCATTGAAACTCCACAGGGGGTGTTCCGCGCGCCTGAGAAATACCCCTAGGATATAGAAAATTGATACAGGCTAGACGGTACGGATTCACATCCCTATGATTCCTCCAGAAGTTGAGCCATCGATCTTCATTGCTCTCTACAGGCAATGACACGAGATCTTTATCTACCTCGACATTTCGTGACAGTTGCTCATCTGCCCACTGACTTCGTGCGTTCTGTTCTTCTAATGCCAGAGCAACAATCATGTGCCTGAGAAATGAAATGTTCTCGTAAGAAAAGATACCGCAATTGATGTCGGTAGCTTTGAGAACATAGACCCCATTCCAATCCAACTTCACACATTGTTTTGAAATAAGATGCTCCCTCAAGGGTTCGAGAAGTGAGATTAGAATGTTGAAGCACGCACACTCAAATCTGTAGTGATCGTAGTCTTCGTCATCGTCTCCGTCTTCTTGTATGGGGTATTCACGGTCTGGTTGAACGCATAACCGAAGCTCAAGTATTTTGCTTGTTCGTGGTGTTTCTCCTTCCCCATTTCCTAACAATTGCTCAACAACCCTTTTGATTCTCCCTTCAAAGAGTCTGTACGAGTCCGCGTCCTGGGATAAGAATGGGCCAGCAGAATCCCCAAGGTTACTAATGTTCAACTTGATGCGCCTGATTTGACTGCCGTGGTGAACTAAGAAGTCGTCTAATCTCTGTCGATTACTTTCAATGAGATCGGGGTCTTCTTCATGCTCATTCAGAGCCGGAATTGTTTCAAAATCGAAGTTTGCCGCTTCTACTTTGCTTATCCAGCCTCCTTGCGATTCATACATCTCAGGATATCCTAGATATTCAGATCCCTCGACCTCCAGTGTAATCGGAATGAGTGTTTCTCGATAAAATCCTGGCAAACATGCAGCTCGCACATCCTTGGATACTGATAGCATATCGAGTGCATCCTTGATATGTCTCGTTTGAATTCCATAATTAGGAAATCTCGAGCTCGTGTCTTGGGCCTCCTCAATAAGCCTTTTGAACATAATTTGTAGAATTTCGTTGGGAAGATGGAGAAAAGTCAAGCGTTCGCTTCTCCTTGTGATGGGAGTGGAGGTCAAGTTTGAGGATTCGCTAGGTGTGTATGTGAAATTGGAGATTCCATCAGAGGAAGACATTTTGGAAATGTGTGAAGTGATAGGAAATTATAATATAATACCCGTGTATACAGATATGAGTAGATGCGAATGTGTAAATGTATATGAACGTACGAATAGATATAAATATATGAACCCAATCTATGATTATGAACGTATGATACGAAGAAGGAAATTGATCATGGAAGAGTGGTGCACTATTGAGAAAGAAAAAAAAAGTTGAAGAAGGTGTCGCACGTCATGAAAGCTGAGAGAGAAGACTGCTCCTCATAGTACAGTTTTTGGACATGTATACTAGTCCATGAACCATTCAACAAGATTGGTGCAGATCCAGACACTTTGAGCTTCCTAGTGTACTTACTTTTCAATTTGTTATCAAATGGTAGACTGATTTCTCATTTTTTGATCCGATCAAGCATAGAAATGAATGAATGGAACATGAAGCACGCATTGAACACACAGAATAATTCAATATCTGAGATATCCATGATAAACCCAGCCAGATTGTTGGAGACTCAGATATCACTGTCCTCGTCATGAACTAGTCACGCCTCAGGAGGCCTAGCTCCTAGATGCAATGTAGTACATGAAATAGTATGAGCTACCCCAGGTTTTTTTTGTCAAAAATAGAAATTTGCGGGTCGCACTTGTCAAGCTAGGCGAACTTGGCGAAGTATATAATTACACGTGATGAGACATTATGTAATTACCTACGGACTTCAACCTCTCAACCTCGGCATTACAGCCTCGCGATATCTTCATGCTTCGAGAGCTTCTTATTAACAGAATTTTCTAACCTTTAACTCCTTTTTCATATCTATCTATAATGTCTGCGGTTATTTACTATGCCATATGAAACACAAATACCGTCAATTTTAATATCTTTCAATATTCATCTGATAATCTCGACATTGGCGTCTCTCTCAACTACAAGCTCATCACAATCGAATCGCGAAGCTGAGGATTGAATTCTCACACGAACTTTAACGAACCCCATGAATGTAACTATCCGCATTGTGTATCAACGTCTGCCATTGCAATCTAAGCTGTTCACTACAGCTTCCACGACCCAAGTAGCCATCCAATAGCTCGCACAGCAAACCTCACCGCGTATCCATAATGTCTTCAGAACCACCCCTCGACCCCTACAAACCCTCCCTATTCGAACTCCTCTCCTCAACCCAACTATCATCTCTACTACCTCCCTCGCTGCATTACCTCCTAACTGTTGCTACCCATCGACATCCACGCCATCTCCTTCCAATCCTCAATTCTTTCCACGAACTCCACGCCCTTCTCTTCCTAGCAATCGAACATCACTACCTAACAACCTATTCCTCCTCCTTCGTCGAGAACTTCTACTCTTTAAAACGCGAACGAGCCTTACCACCTGCAATAGGTTCCTTAAAATTGACTGCCGAAGGCGCCAACTCCAGTTTACGAGAAGCAACAAAACTTACAACAAAAGATGTGTGGAAAAATCTTGCTGTATTGGTCGGAATCCCCTATCTTAAACGCCGCCTCGATGAGTCCGCAGAAATAAATGCACCTCGCGCCCTTCTCGGCGCAAATTACACCCGCATGCCACCAAATCCTACACTCCGCCAACGATTCCTCCATTACTATCGCTGGTTTCTTACTAATGTATATCCCAGCGTCAACGCTGCTTATTATTTCAGCATCCTAGCCTTCAATCTACGCTACCTATTCTCCAACTCAAAATCCGGTTCAGGAGTTTACTCCGACCCCTTTCTCTGGCTTATAGGCACTCGCATCCGAAGATTAAGCCAAGCAGATTTCCAAGCATTTGAAGCCCTTGCAAATGCGCCCTCATCTGCGACACCAGGAGGTAACCTGGGTATAAGAAGTTTGTTGGATCCAAGATTAGCTATGGGAAGATTAGGGGCTGGATTGAAGCTGTTGTTACCAACGAGTATCTTTGCGCTCAAGTTTCTGGAATGGTGGCATGCGAGTGATTTCGCGAGACAATTGTCAAAGAAGGCGACGGAGGGGTTGGAGTTACCACCGCCTATCATTTCATATACACCTTCTGCCACTACCCCATCCAAACCATCAAACTCATCAAAGCCGGAAACCACATCTCCAGCATCTCCAGAAGATAAATCCTCAGAGGAGCCTACGAACCCACCCATCTCGACTCTCACCCATCTCCCAATCTACGTCGTCCCTGCACCGTCTTCCTCAAGCGCCGAGTCTCTAGAGAACTGTCCGATTTGCTTACAAGAAATCACGACCCCAACGGCTTGCCAGACGGGTTATGTATACTGCTATACTTGTATCCATCGTTGGATCGAGGGGGTACATGAGTTACAAGAGACGTTTATGAAAGGAGGGGCAGAGGTCGTAGCGAGTGACGAGAAAGAAGCTGCTAAGGAAAAAGAGAACTATAGGGAAACAAGAGAAGGAAAATGGGAAAGCGGCGCAGGTAGATGTGCGGTGAGTGGAAGGAGGGTATTGGGTGGTGTTGGGGGGTTGAGGAGAGTTCTGGTTTAAGCACGAGGATGCAGATTGGGATGGAACATCGGAGATATGATGAAAGCTGCGATGAGATGATAGCTCTCTCCAAAATTCCGAGATCACATCATACCATACTATTATCCACACTCAGCAAGAGGGGAGACGAAAAATCACAACTAGACGAAATAATGTCCATTTTACCAATTTTTAGAGAGCGAAGCTGGAGCATTTCAAATCGGAGTTTGGATATCATGTCATGTCATGGAACTAATAGCATTTTGGCGTTGTATTTCGATTTCACTTCAACATTTACTTAGATATCACATATACATATATAATGAAACGAAGTCAGCCAAAACTAAATCACCATTTCTCGAATACATGATTGAGAAGGGTTGGCTATATCTTTTTGCTATTCAACTATCATTAAAGAAGAGGCTAGCTAGCTATGTATTATCCATGCATGTGTGATCTAACCTAAGTGAGGAGAAACCGCACTCGCTTCGCAGCACATCGCATCTTATGGTGATCGATTAAAAACCGTGCTGTGTCCTTTGCAGATGATATCACACGGAACTATACTCTCAAGTAAAGAAACCTTTTCGAATAGGAAAAAAAATTAAACCCGTGAGTGAGAAACTTTTAGAATATTATCGTATCGTCACCCCTCGCTCACTAGAAATGTATGAAATCATTTGACCGTAAAAAGTCATGGCCATGAAAGTCGTGTCGTGAATTGCGAGAAACGCAATGCTATCTACCTATCATCGCAAGCAAAAGACTAAATTGTGTCGTGCCTCATACGTGATCGTAAAGTCGTGTTCGAAGTATCGAAAGTCTCTCCGTCCGTTTCTTCATGCCTGTAATTCCATGCTTCAAATTTCCAGTAACTTTTGGTTTTGTGCTCTCAACGGTCCCGCAGCTTCAATTTCCTTTTCATCTCCATTTAAATCCCCCTCAGTTTCCTTCAAAATATTGCCAACAACCTCTTCTCGATATCCCATACTAATGCCCTCCATTCCATCTTCACGTTTAACGAATTCGATGTTGCCCTCTTCATCAACATCCCCTTTACATGCGCATCCGTATTCCTCTCTGAATTCTCTGATACTCATCCCCTCCAACTTGACTAGGGCTTTCCTGGCTGCTCCTACCCTAGCATATCTCATACTTTCGGCAGTAGCAGTTGATACCACCTTATTGTGCACAATGACCCCACAAATCACAACATTCTTTCTACCATCCTCTCCAGGTACTTCCTTACTAACTGGTGCCCAGTCCTCACATCCCATGTTCTTTTGCAAGAAATTTGTAAGAAAAGTGGTTGGGTGCTTATTAGCATAGGTATCATAGATACTCATATCATCAAAGTACCATCTAATATGCATTTCAAAGAACTTCTCTACTTCACCGTAATTGTACTCAGAGTCGACAAAAATGGCACCAATGAATGCTTCTACTATGTCGGGAAGACATTTAGGAGGTTGACGAACGGCAATCCAATAATCACGAGCATAACCATCTTCTTCTTTACCGGCTCTCTTTGCGTCTGCTTTGGCTTGAATGAGAGCTTCATTAATATCTGAGGAGTAATCTGTAATCATTTTTTGAATTTGAGAATCGAGTGTCAATAGATGTTTGTGAAAGCCCAATTTAACACAGAGAGCTCCAAGAAATTGGTTGGATACCATAGCCATCTTGTGCTCAGTGAGCCACTGAGGATCTTTCGTTGGGTGATTGTGGAAAAGGAAGTTGACACATGCCATGTCGAGTAGCGAGTCACCCAAAAACTCGAGACGTTGATAACAAGGAATTTGCTCGTAGATGAATAAGTATGCCGGATGAATGAAAGCTGATCTTAATAGGCGCGGGTATTTAAAATGATATGGATGTTTCGCCTCAATTTGTCTTGCCATATCTATTTGTGCAGCTGTAGCTACAGCAGTTTGCCATTTTGGTTTCTCATACAATTTGTAATAATCAGACCATACAACAGCATTATGGTTATCACTATTGACGACTTCGGTAACGGCACGAACTGCATTATCCATGGATTTGCTTTCGTGATGACTTAGTAAAGCAGCGCCAATCATTGCCTCACAGACATCTGCGACTGACTTATCACCGAGCTTGTGTGTATTCGGTGCCGTTGCTGTCTTTCCTCTTAATAACTCGGGGCCCTCAGGATACCAAGCACGTCGATTGAAGGCTGCTGACCGAATGTATTTGTAAAGCTCAAGTTTCAAAGCCGTGTTGAACAGATTTTTGTTGCAAATCAGACACATACGATCAACATGATAGCGGAATTCGTCACTATCAGGGTTCAGACCGTATAGAGATATTGATGTTCCCATCTTCAAGAAGCAGTCTCCAAGAAACTCCAATCGTTCATAATTATTGCCCATTCCTCTTTGAAAGTTTGCCTGTTCCTCGCCATGCTCTCCAGAATTGTCAGAATCCTTAGTGACAGCTTCTAGCGCAAGATCAGGACGAATGTCAAGATGTAATAAGTCTGTTGCCTCAAGAGCAATGAGATATGATTC